ACTTCAGCCAGGTCACGATCTCGCGGTCTGTGAGTTCGAGCCCCGCGTCAGGCTCTGGGCTGATGGCTCAGAGCCTGGAGCCTGTTTCCGATTCTGTGTCTCCCTCTCTCTCTGACCCTCCCCCATTCATGCTCTGTCTCTCTCTGTCCCAAAAATAAATAAACGTTGAAAAAAAAAAAAATAGATTTGTGGTGCTTCCAAACATTTAGATTCTGGACCTGACCATTTTTGATGAATGAGGTGAGAAAAAGAAGTTCTTTTGCTAGTAGCTTTAGGCCTTTTTGTCTGGGAGGACAAGATGTCGGTGCACTTTTATGCAAATTCTGGAAAGAAAATGCATGTTTAAAGAGTGACTGAAATCATGTATTTTTGGTTAGGTATTAAATATTGAGATAAGAATCATTTTTGGCATATTAAATTTATTCAGCAACTTAATTTTTATTTTTCAAGTAATTCTGGTATTTAAGTATTAGGAAAATTAAACTTTTATTAATACAATATTCATAGATTTTTAAATGCAGTTTTTTCATATTTAATCCAAAATGAAGATATGTCTTACCAGTGGTGTGTTACTATTCAGTTGGCAGTAGTCTTCTTTTTCCAGGGTTATATAAAATAATGGTGCATCTTAAGACTGATGATGTTTCTTAGATTCAGAAAATGATACATTTGCAATATATGTAATTAGTTTTTCCATATCCTCACCAATTTAGGTACAGACAAGGGTGATATTTGGCCAAGAACCATTGCAAATTTCTTGGCTTTTTCCCCTCCCAGTGGTTTCAGGGTAGTTCTGCTTCTCTGGTTACAGCTGTTACCTTCTGCAATTAGTTTCTATTATCCTTATTTTAGTCTGTAGCTGCCATTTTCAGCACTGTATGGGAAAGCTGGCCATGTTGCCATAATGGTTTTCACAGCTGGTGGTATCATCACTTTTGCTAGTGTTTCTCATCCACTTTTATAATACTTTGTCTTCAATGATAGGAGGAGCTGAATGCTTTCCTCATGTGATAATAGCTTTCTGTTGATTGATACTGCATGGTGTGATCTCTAAATAGATCACTAGCTCTTTACATCAAGTAAGTATGAATTCTTGTTTATTTTTACATCAAATTTTTAGGTCCTTCTCTTTTAGCTTCTGTGTCCGTGTTCAAGAAACTTAGGGCTAGTTTCTTTGTTGTTGCTTTTGTTTTGTTTTGTTTTTTGTTTTGTTTTGTTTTGTTTTGGAATATACCTCATTAGAACCAATTTCTTAGATGATCCAAAGGACCCTTGAGGGGACTGACTGCTTATTTAAAGACGTGTTCTGCCTTCTCCAATGAATTATTGTTCTGAGAATACACCAAAGGATAAATTCCCTGTTTTGTGAACCATCCAAATAGACAAACCATTTGACCTTCCATTCTTTGTATGTTTTTTTTTTTTATGTTTTGATTTCAAGTGCATGGGTGAATTATTACTTTTATTAGTGGGCTTAGTAAATATGCATTAGCCCCCAAAAGGTTGGTCATGCTTTATCTCTTTATTGGAGGCGATGTGGATGTGTGCAAAGTAGTTTAAAGCCTAGTAGCTAAGACATTAAGGGGCTGGCATGAATTGTCTTTTTATGTAGTGACTCACCCGCTCAGTAAAAAAAAAACTTTTTATGTAGTGACTCACCCCCTCAGAATGTTTTAGATTCTGACCTGTGATATTGAAATGGAAAGTGGGTTGTAGATTATAACCCCTTTTCATGAGGAGAGTTTGGAACAGAGATCCTGCATTATCTGTTGCTATATAACAAATTATCTCCAAATTTAGTAATTTAGAAGAACAAACCTTTATAATCCCATGTCGCCCAAAGGGTCTGGAATCAGAGGCTTAGCTGGATGGTTCTGGCTTAGAGTCTCTCTTGAGTTTGTAAGCAAGATATTGGCCTGGGCTGCAGTCATCTGAAAGACTGGCTTAGGGTTGGAGAATATGCTTCCAAATCATACATGGTTATTAGCAGGAGGCCAGTAATCTTAGCATGCAGGCTTCTGAATTAGGCTGTTCACAATACAGCAAGTGATTCTAAAGAGAATGACCAAGATGTAAACCATATTGTTTTATAACCTAATCTTGGGAGTGACATACCATCATTTCAGCTATGTTTTGTTAGTCACACTGTTGAATTTTGGTACAGTGTGGGAAGGAACTACACAAAGATGGGAATACAAGAAAGCAGAGTTAATTGCAGATTCTCTTGGGAGTTTGGTCATCACAGGTCTTTTTCTTTGTGGACATGTAAGAATTAGTGTCAGGGTGAGGAAAGCATTTCTTTTTTCATAGCACTCTTAATCATTATGTTCAGGAGACATAAGGGATAATGATACCAATAAAGCTCTTCTTAACTTACCTTTATATCCTTATGTTTCAGTTAGTACCTGTGCAAATTGCCTTATATATCCTTGATTTGATAACAGGGCTTGCGCTCCCTGTTTTAGTAAAGTTCTCAAGATCTGCAGAATTTCTACAGCAGTGTTACCCAAAATGTGATTATTGAAACAAGACTTTTCAGAGATGCTCTACACTAATGGGTTTCCATTACTTTTGGAAACTTTTTTGTTATCTTCTTCTCCTTGGAGAATCAATGTAGAAGTCTCTGAGAAGTCCCGCATTGAAGATACCAGTTTTTCGTTGTTGCACCCAGTGTTCTTAATTCACTTGAGGGGCACCTGGGTGGCTCAGTTGGTTAAGCATCCACCTTAGGCTCAGGTCATGATCTTACAGTGGTTCATGAGTTTGAGCCCTGCATCAGGCGCTCTGCTGTCAACACGGAGCCCATTTCAGATCCTCTGTCCCCTTTTCTCTGCCCTTTCCCCACTTGTGCGTGCGCTTGCTCTCTCTCTCTTTCAAAAGTAAACATTTTAAAAAATAGTAAAATAAAATAATAAAAATTTACTTGATCAGGGCACCTGGGTGGCTCAGTTAAGTGTCTGACTTCAGCTCAGGTCATGATCTCGTGGTTCGTGAGTTTGAGCCTCGCATCACATTGGGCTCTTTGCTGTCAGCCAGAGCCCGCTTTGGATCCTCTGTCCCCCTCTGTCTCTGCACCTCCCCCTCTTCCCTTCTCCCCATCGCATGTGTGCATGCTCTCTGTCTCTGTCTCAAAAATAAACATTAAAAAAATTTACTTGATCATTGAATCACTGTATTATATACCTGAAACAAATAATAACACTGTATGTTAAATACACTGGAATTAAAATTTAAAAACTTGAAAAAAAATATACTTGATCATATAACCTACATTTGTTAACATAAGTGGAATAAATTAAAAACCTTGTTCTAACATAGAACTTTATCACAAATATATTTCTTTATTCAAAACAAGTCACTTAGGCAGCTTTATTTCTGTATTTTAGATACTTAAAATTTTTCTTAACTGTGTTTCAATTTGTAATTATTTTGCATTTTGGAAGGCAGCTGAGATCAGAAATTGCAAGTAGTTGATACCTTATTTTCATTTTACTAGCAATTATGATACTGCAGGATCTAAGGAAAGATTTCATTCTTGGCCACTTTAAGAGCCATTTAGGAATTTAGAATTTTTTTTTTTTTTTTTAACATTTAGTGATTTATTATCGATGTTTTTCAGCATATTCTAGACCCTGGGGATGCTGTGATCAAAAACATGGTCTGTCCTCATTGTGAGGTGAGAGCCAAACAAATGTAGGAGGTAATTGCAGAAAGGCCACAGAGACCAAAGTAAAGGTGTGGTAGTCCACAGATACCTGCTTGTAGGCCAAGTGTGTGTGCCTATTAATAAGTTCTTTTCCAGTGATTCTCAACAGAGAAGGCAGGAGGTTTTTTTGTTTGTTTGTTTGTTTTTTATTTCTTTATTTTGAGAGAGAGAGAGAGAATGAATCCCAAGTAGGCTCTGCACTATCAGCACACAGCCAGACGTGGGGCTCAAACTCATGAACAGTGAGATCATGACCTGAGCCAAAATCAAGAGTTGGTCGCTTAACCGACTGAGCCACCTAAGTGCTGTGAGAAGGGAGGATTTTTCCAATCTGTAGTGGTATTGGATGCTGTTAAATTTACTTAAAGGCATCATAAACTGAAAAGGTCTAGAAATATTTGTTAGTGATACTTGATTGTCCAGCAACAGCACAAACTAGCTTTTAAGTAGAGAATTGTTGAGTTCTGAACAGATACCCATTTTGGTCTACTTTATTCCAAGAAAAGATGCTCATTAAGAGTATTTATAATGTTACATGAAATAATTTCTAATAACATGGGTTATTTGATTTTTAAACCCATAAGTTGCAGGCAAGTTTTTGTTTTGCTTTGTTGTATACTGATAAAGAATGTCCACTAGTGATAACAGAAGAGTTGAACAGTAAAAACTTATAAACAAGAATGTAAATACATAGTCATTTGGGTTATGTGGAAAAATAACTGCATATCTTGGGCCCAGATATGTTATATTCTGATATTGATAGTTTAAATTATGTGCAGATACCCTATTTAAGAAAACAAATATGGGCTGTAAATTGTAAATTAAATTATTTAAAATGTTTTCAAAAGGCTTTTTGCATGAATGGTTACTTGTATAGTTTCTCTGAAAAGCTTGCATGTCTGAAATGACACCTTTTTTAAGGATGATGGAGAACTGTGGTTTTTACAATTGGAAAGCAGTAAAGGAAACAGTGCTGAAACTTTTAAGCATTTAAAACCTAGGCTGAGATCTTGTAACCCCAATGGAGTAACAGTGAAGTTTTGTAGGTAGCTGGTTGCTCTTCATAACCACTTTACAGCATCAATGTTTTCAAATATATTTGGAAATCTTTTGATTGTGAATTATGGGACAAGCAATTAAAACTTTGAGAGTGAGGCATATATACAAGGTGTAAGGGACTTGAAAAGATATGAGCCTATGGAGGAAATTTAATCAAGGATTTCATTCTGTGTAGAAGGATATTTATATTGTCATTTTTCTTAAAGTACAAATTATTATTGATACTCTTTTCTAGAAACGATTGCAGAAAGAACTGTTGGCTTTGCAAAATGACCCACCTCCCGGAATGACTTTAAATGAAAAGAGTGTTCAAAATTCAATTACACAGTAAGTAGTTAATTTTTTATTATTATTATTATTATTACTACTTAATGTTACTTATTTTTGAAAGAGAGGGCACACATGCACACGAGCCGGGGAGGGGCAGAGAGAGAAGGGGACGGAGGGTGTGAAGTGGGGGACAGTCAGATGTGGGGCTTAAACTCATGAATCATGAGATCATGACCTGAGCCCGAGCTGAAGTCAGATGCTTAACCTACTGAGCCACCCAGGTGTCCTGGTAGTTAATTTTTGAAGTACTTACGTGTTTCATTTATTATTAGTGTAATGTATGAATATATACTTACTTTTTTAATGTAGAATTTTCATATTTAATTCTACTCTCTTCTATCAAGAGATAAACAAATAGATCTTATTCTATGCATTTATATATACAATTTGGTGTTATGTAATATCACATACATTATATATAATGTATGATTTGTAACCCTTTGTTTTTTAAAACCATATGTTTGATTACTAATTTTTTTTTTTTTTTTTTTTTTAGTGTTTATTTTTGAGAGAGGGACAGAGTGCGAGCAGGGCAGGGGCAGAGAGAGAGAGGGAGACAGAGAATCAGAAGCAGGCTCTGGGCTGTGAGCTGTCAGCACAGAGCCCAACACAGGGCTCAAACTCATGAACCGTGAGATCATGACCTGGGCCGAAGTCAGACGCTTAAAACAACTGAACCACCCAGGTGCCCCTGATTAGTAGTTTTTAAAATGTCTCTTGCTAAGAAGGCAGCATTTAAAAACTTAGGTCTGTCTTCATTTATGAAATGATCTTCATCTTAAATAACACAATTTGGCATGAAGTTGTTTATCACAGTTTTCAAAACCACATGTAAAAGTTTAAAGAGAGTAATAGTCAAGAGGTGTCTCCATCCCATGAACACAGTAGTTGCCCTGTTCAGAAGGGTAAATAAATGAATGTCAGACCCTCAATAACCTCTTTTAATAGATAAGAAACTTCTTCATGAGGATGAAAAAGTGAAGCATGAAAGGAAGACACAGAAATATTCTAATTCCCCTCCTTCCTTGGGAGTAAAGAAGTGAAATCTTTTCCCAGATACAATACCAAGAAGGGTAGAGAGATATGTGTCCTCTTGCATAAAAATGAGCATTTGAATTAGTTTGAAACATTTTCAAGGGTATCACTTTAAGTCTCCAACCCTGTGTAGTCTATTTTTTACCACTCCTTTGATTTAATATTTTATTAGACAAGGGTAAATGTTCTGAAATTGGGGGGTGGGTAGTGGTGGAATTTAAAATAATGAACCCTCTTCTTAAAAAAAAAAAAAAAAGTCCAAAAACATAAAAGGGATAGGAGGCAACAAAATAAAAGTATACTGTAGACCAAGTTGTAGGGCAAATACTTAGTGATAGTCTAGGTCCAGGGAGCAAAAGTGACCAAAATTCATGGACTAGGGCACCTGTATGGCTCAGTCAGCCAAGTGTCTAACTCTTGATTTCAGCTCAGGTCATGATCTCATGGTTCATGGGATCAAACCCCACTGTCAGCATAGAGCCTGCTTGGGATTCTCTCCTTTCTCTCTCCCCCTCTTTCTCAAACAAACATGTAAAAGAAAAAAATTCATGGGCATATTTATCTTTTTAGAGAAACAGTTTTGGTTACCTTTGACTTTGATACTTGAGTCAGTACTTAAGACAGAAGTCAAGCCTTTTAAGAACAGGGATATGAAGAATGGATCTACTGATGGTTGGATGGATATTGATGTTTGAAAATGTAGTGTAGATTTCTATCTCTATAACAATCGTTTTAAAACATTGCTGGGTTTGCAAGTATTTTTAGGTTCCCTGCAAAACTGAGCAGAAGATACAGAGATTTCAAATATATCCTCTGCTCTCACAAATGCAGTCTCCCCCATTATCAACATCTTGCCCCCAGAGTGGTATATTGGTTATAATTGATGAATTATGATTGACACATCATAATTACGCAGAGTCTGTAGTTTACATTGTAATTCATTCTTGATGTTTCTAAGGATTTGGGCAAATGTACAGTGACCTGTATTATCATTATGGTATCATACAGAATGTTTTCATTGGCCTAAAAATCCCCTGTGCTCCAGCTATTCATCACCTCCCCCAACCACTGATCTTCTTACTTTCTCTGTAGTTTTCCCTTTCTCAGAATGTCATATAGTTGGAACCATACAGTAAGTAGCCTTTCAGATCTCTTTTACTTAGTAATATGCATTTAAGGTTCTTCCATTTCTTTTTGTAACTCTCAATTGATTTTTCATTTCCATCAAACAAAATTTGAAAATGGAATGTATGGCATTTGTTCTGTATAATTATGTGATTTTTTTTTTTTGTTCTGTATAATTAAACAGAATATATTCCATTTTCATTGGTAATAAGTGCTTCCTCTTTCAGTCTTTTTTTGGTGGGGCAGGAGGACTACACAACACAATGATTTATAAAATGTTAATGGAATGTTCTGCATTAAAAAAAAATTTTTTTTTAATGTTTATTTTTTTTCGAGAAACAGAGTGCAAGTGGGGGAGGGGCAGAGAGAGAAGGAGACG